CTGGCAGCCCTGTTCTGCTCCTCCTGTGTTTTTTCTGGTAGGCATATCAGCTATAAATATCTTGCTGGTACAGTGTACCGGACCAGACCATCCTGCTTGGACTGCTGTTAATCAGAATTGCTATTCAGAACCTTCCAAGGAAAACTAAAGCTGTACTGGGTAGCTGTTGTCTTATTAGGTGTTCAAAAATTAACTGAAGTTTAAATAACTTTAGAACTGTTAAAGATTCCAGAGTTAACATAGTTCTCAACACAACATTTGAAAAATAGTTCTTTCTTCACTTTCATCCCGATGCCATGGTTCTTATTTTCCTCTGAAGGAATAGCTAGTCTTTCTGCAGCATTTTATTTTACCTTGTCTTTCTTGTGTTTGGCTATAACATTAAAATACAAATACCTTGTTAGCCTTAGTATCTTGTCTTTGGGCTTCCTTCCTACCGGCGTTCTGGAGGTGGGAGTGTTGCTGCTTCCAGTGCCCGCCCTCCCTGTGCTCCAGAGTTGGGGAGGCTGGAGCCACGCACCCTCCTCCTTTCCCATGCTCCAGGGATACTGGGGATGTGCACTTTCCTCCTGCCCGCTCTGTGCTCTGGGTTGGGGGAGGCTGGAGCCATGTGCACTCACCTCTCCTTCTCCTCTTCCAATGGTGGGGGCGGTGCGGGAAGGCAGCTTGGCTCCTGTGGGGGGACGGGGCCTCAGTGGAAGAGGCAGGAGTGGGGGTGAGGGCTTGTCTTCCTCAGCCCTACCTTCACTGACTGCCCATGCTGCCATATAATAGGGGGTCTAAATGCTAAGTGGTATCAAAATCTGATAAACGTATTAAAACTTTATGCCCAATTCTGCTGACTTGATCACAACATTCTCATGCACTTTAATTCTACATATCAATAATTATTTTTATTTGCATTAATTTAGTCAGCCTGGGCCGAAAGACAGTAACTCATGCAGCAATCAGCACTGACCAGCAAAGGACCATAGGATTGACTAAAGATGCAGACAATTCTGTGGAAAACACCCAGAAAAACACTATACGAAATCAACCACTACTTGCGCTTGATGCAGACAAGTCTAACCAATCTCTCTCTCAGGGACCAAAGAAACAAGTCAATGGATTTATTCCAGGTAAGAATAATTTTTAAAAAAGTTTTAAAGTTTACCAGGAATCATTTACAGCAATTAGTAAAAAGAAAAATTCCAAAATGCTAGAAATGCAGTCTAAACTGGTTTAGAGGCAAACAATTCAAAACACTCAAAGAGAATAAATTTGGAAAACTTCTGCTATTGTTAATGATTTATATTGAGCAACATCAGCATGGTAGGCAGTTTAGATGTGTAGGAAAATCGTTTCAATGGAACTCTATAGGTAGGATCCCGTGCTTCCCAGGAGAATGCCTTATTCCCTAGTCCACTCCAGAACCCACCCCACCTCCCTATCTTCAGAGGGTCACTTATCCTTCCTTATGCAGGAGGTTGCTCCATCCCTGGGGGAGCCTGTATTGGCTGTCTGACCCCTCCCAGGGGCCCCAACCCTGCGCTCCTCAGGCGAATACCCTATCCCCTAGACCACTCCAGAACCCACCCATCAGCCCTATCTTCAGCAGGTCCCCTTAGCCTGCTTTCATAACTGAACTGATCCAGAAAATTCCTTATGGTATGGTCACTTCCCTTTATAGAACTGCACTTTTAAGACTATGTCTGGCTGATGTCAATGTAGAGAAAATTCAGTATCTGATATAGCAGTCTTTTGACACACCTTTGTATTTTTACCAGTAGAGACCAACCCCATTCTCCAAAACTCTACATCCTGCTGCCTTTCTAAAGAAAGAAGCCTTTGTGAAGTAGAAGAAAAAAAAAGATCATCTCTGTTGGAAGTTACAGAACACTATGGATGTGTCTACACCATAACTCGAAATAAGCTACGCCAATTGCGTAGTTTTTTTCAAAATAGCTTATTTCAAATGTTGGTGCGGTCTACACAGCACTTATTTTGAAATAGAGCACTCTTCCTCAGACTTCCCTTACTCATAAAATAAGAGTTACAGGAGTTGGAGTAAGAAGTACTCAGCTTGACAGTATTTCAGCATTGTGTCAAAATAACTGCCGGCGGTGTAGACGCAGCCTATGTTATTTAGAAATAAAGCTAGTTATTTCGAAATAATGTTGCAGTGTAGACATAGCCTAACTTAACAAAAGCTTCAGCCAAACTGGACCTTTCAATGCAGTTAAAGGATAGGCAGTTCCTTTGCCAGAAAGCGGAAACAATCCAATATGGTTAACAAATGAAATTAACTAGAGCCTTTTATTAAAGAGTAAGTTATAAGTACACACAGAGTACCAGACCCTCATACTTAAATGAGTTTTTAAAGTTTAGATGTGTGTTTAGCTTCCAGAGATACAGCTGATTAGATATATGGTATTGTTTTCTTGTTGCAACAGAGCAGTGCTTAGTGCCCCCTGCTGTCGGCCCTTGTAAAGGGCACTTCCCTCGCTGGCACTTTGATGTTTCTTCAGGCACTTGCCTACATTTCATCTATGGTGGCTGCCAAGGGAATGAAAACAACTTCCTTCAAGAATCTGACTGCCTCAGTGAATGTGTAGGAATTCATGGTAAAAATTACCTCCATTGGGAAGAAGGGAATATATCTTTATAAAAGGTTTTATTTATTCATATTTGCTCCAGCAATGTAAAATGAACTCCCCAACAAAGGCTCTTCAGAGGAATACATTGAAATTTGCTATTCTGCCAGACATCCTTTTACCTCTTACATTTATTACTAACACCTAACATTATAACTGAAAGATGGAGGAAAATGGAACGGTAGCTTTTATTGAGTTTGTTTCCTTTTTGCTGTTGTCCACACTTCTGTACTGACAGCATCAGTGTTTACCTCTATCCATTCAGTTTTGTGGTCAGCTTCCCCGGTTATGTTCCTTTTTGCACACAAAGAGAAGAAATGAAAAAACATGTCTAAAAATGGGAAACGGATTATAAAAATCACAGAAATTAGTATGAGGAAGCAGGAATAAGAATAGCACCTGAAATTACTTATGTTTTTTAAGTGAACAAGATTTCCACCTGACCATCATTCAATTCTTGTGCTTTTATCATTACTTTTTTACAAGTTTGTTACAATTTAAACTTATTTCAGTGAACGTTAAGAATTTCCTTGTAGATTAGAATCTCGATGATCCTCTAACCCAGTACTTTTAACCAAAACAATGGTAATCTCTGCCCATATGTCAGCAACGTTATAATAGCTTAAATTTCTTAAGACTTCATCACCCTCACAATATATGCTTCAGTACTTTTACATAAGAGTAAAATTAACTAATACTTATAAAAATAATTGAAACAAATGTATTTTGTGACAAAGTACTCTTGAATTATCAGGGATTAAGTAAATAAAAGTATTATACAAGTGTTAGGAGTAACAGTGGGTTTGTTGGGCACTCATATAGTTAGCAAGTGCATTATTGCTTCATAGTCCCATGTTGGGATGTCTGCATTGATGAAGTACTAATACAAATCTAAATCTCGGCACATTGGGTGCTTGGGGTTTAAAAACTTAAGATATAAAAATTATCAGTTATTGCACCTGTAGGAAATACAGACTTGGCAGAAAGGTAAACATTTTGGGAATGTGATGTTTCTGTAAGACACGGTCAGGTTGAACCTCCCTGGTCCAGTGCCCTTGGAACCTGACTGAGCTTGGATGAGGGATTTTGCCAGACCAGGAGAGGTCATTTCTCCCTCACCCCATGGGCTTTCTGGCTCCCCCCACAGCCTGGCTGAGGCCACCCTCCCATAGTCCAGCTGAACCACATGCCAGCTTGTACTCCTACTCCTCCCCCACCACACAGCTGAGTCTCATGCCACACCCCCCATCACATCGGGCTCCTGGCTCCCAACCCCAGCAGTGTACTCTGATCCTAAAACATTGATGGTTCTTCTGGACCACAGATGCTGCCAGCCCAGAAAATTCCAGTTCTAGTTTATAGAGGTGCAACCTGTATTTCTTTTCTCCTGAAGAACTCTGAAGAAATCCACTAATACTTTGACACAAAATAATTACATGAAGCTGTGTGGTATGAGCATCTCAGCCTCAAATGATTTGACTCTTAAGACCTGTGTAGCACGCTCAGAGCACTGAAGCTTATACTTTAGTCTACCTTGTGTTTGATGTGTTTCTGTTGGTTTAGTGATAATCCCTTATTACAAAAAAATCCCAATAGTGACTAGTCTGGTGGTGATTTCATATAGAGGAATAATGGTAAATTTTGTTTCTAGCCCTGCTGCCTTCCTGGCTGAAAAGAGCCAGCTGATGAACAGCATTGTTAAGCTTTCAAAGACACTTCTTTAGTCCCCTGATTGAAAAGTTGTGGCTTCACTATGCCACAATTAGGGTTAAAAGCAATAAAGCCCATGAAGGAAAGATGGAGCCAATCTTCAGTGAAGAGAACACTGAGAAGAGCTAAGGATAATGCGAGTAGAAGCCATTCAGGTTTTTCACTCAATTCTACAAATGTGCTTATGTGTAGTTAACACTTCCATGTTAGTATTGGTCCCCTCTTAAGTTGGTATATCAAATTTTCTAGTGGCTCTCCAAGCAGGACCACATATGTATCATGTTTATATCTGTGAATAACTAGATGAAGCCCCCCAAGCTAATTTTACCTGTAAGCTCAATTAAATTTTACTGTCTGTTGTGGCAAAGGTAATGTTATAAACCTCTGTGCCTCAAATATATTAAAATGAAGTTTTAATCTCAACCAACGAGACTTTCTTTGCAACGTATGATTTTTTTAAAATGTATTAACAGGTGCAATTTCACAACAGACTGCAACGGATCCATCATCTCAGTCCAATTCAGATCCAGGTTTGACTTGTTTTTAAATAATTATTTTGTATATTGTCACAAAATCATAGGATAGGAAAGGTAAATGAAGTAGTTTAATAGATGCAATGACTGGAAATAGACACTAGGCAAAAATCAAACAAGTGCAAATTTTAATAGCAAGGGTAGTTAACTATTGGATCTTACATAGGGATGTGGTAGATTCTTCATCAATTTGAATATTTTGAATCAAAACTAGCTGTCCTTTTGTGCTGTGTTCTAATTCAACTGTAAGTGATGGATTTGTTGCAGAAATTATTGGGGTAAATTTTGTGGACTGTGTTATGCAGAAGATCAGCCCTAGAAAGGGCCCCTTCTGATCTTAATCTAGAAAGATTTTCTTTGAGAGATTGCAGGAAGCAACCTTACTCTTCACTTTAAATTACAATGATTGTTAACAATGCTTGCAGGGACATGTTACACTTCCCTTCTCCCCACTACTAGGTACTAAGACATTGCTAAATAAACCTCCTTACTACAGGTGCTCAGAGAAGATAGTGTGGGCAGCAGTATAAAACTCTAATTAAATCAATCATTAATGTGTCTGTCTGGATTAACTGTGGACCCCCTGGCTACATTAGAAGAATTGACTAACTCATTGTCCCCTGGCATCCTCCCCAATTGGTGTTGGAAACAGTTTGACCACAAAATAGACAAAGCTTGTGATAGAAAAGGTAATGGACCAACTTGTGCAGAAAGTGCGCTTTCTGTAGTAGGACCATGGCTTGGCTCTGTCTACACTAGTACCAAAAATATTTTCATCTGTCACTGATATCAGATCCTGGGGGACTGGCTGGGAATAGTGGGCTAAGGGAAATTAACACCCTCTGAGTTGCGTAACTGTAATTTCCCGAGACCAAACTCATGTCTGCATTGCAGCTACTAAGTTGCTATCCTGAAGTTGCTCTCCAGCGTGGTGCTTACAATTGACAACATAGTGTGGTGCTATTATATTGATGAGATAGTGTCATAAAAGTTTGCTTGCAGTTAAGTAAACTGGAGTGACAAGCTGGCTGTGAGTAGCAAAGGCAGCTTTAGTCCTAGAGTGAGAGTTTAGGACTGCCCCATAGACTTTCAAATCCTAGGATTCAGGATGCATAAGTCACTATAGCAACTTTGCATTCCTCAGATTTCATGTGTCTCACTGTATCTAAACTGGCCTATGCCAACTGCCTTGCTGCCATTTGTTGAGGAAATTACAATCCTTGATTGACTCCCCCAAGCCATCACTTTACTCATGCTTTGGAGGCAGTGCCATCCTTACCCATACAGAGCTGTCTAGGTCACCTGAAAATTTGAGGTGCTGCTGGATCTTAATTGTCCATCCACCCACCCATCTTTTCCTATCCCCATTCTGTGGCTCTGCTTCGTGCCCAGAGTATCTAGTTAACTTAAAGGTGAAAAAAACCTGTCAGACCTATTCGCAGAACATCAAACCTATGAAAGAGTCATTCAAGTGGTGATGAAGCCAGTGGGTCAGTTTCTGAATTTACTGTGTTAGTCTACAAGACTTTAGTTCAAAATTTGTTTTTAAAATATGTCATTAGTGTGCTGAAGATTATACAATCACATCTTTTAAAAAAACCCTGTTTGGAGGCATATAACGGCATGAGTAAAAGCCTTCGCCCCTGTGATCCTGAGGAACCTCTTCCTACTGCTCCAAGAGATATGAGCAGCTTCTTATACAGGAAATGTGGTCACTCTTGAAAAAGCGACAAGGAGTCCTGTGGCACTTTATAGACTAACAGATGTATTGTTAGTCTATAGCTACAGGACTCCTTGTCGCTTTTGCAGATCCAGACTAACATGGCTACCCTTCTGATACTTGACTCTTGAAAAAGGTTCAGAGTGGGGAAGGGCAGAAGGGAACAGAATTGGATAGAATATCCCCTCTCTACCATTCAGAGCATCAAGCAGATGAAGGTGATGCACAAATAAGGCAGGATGGATCCAGTACTTTCAAAAACAAAAAAACAGTTACTCACATTTGTAACTGTTGTTCTTCGAGATGTGTTGCTCATATCTATTCCAACTAGATGTTCGCACACCACATGCACAACTGTCCAAAAGCTTTGCCTAGCTGCTACCAGCCAGGTCAGCTATAGAGCCCCCAGGAATGGTGCAGATGCAATGCCCTGTATAGGACCCTGCCGTCAGACCGTCCCATAGCACCTTCTTGCTGGCTACTCTGGCAGTGGGGAAGGAAGAGTGGATATGGTATAGATATGAGCAACACATCTCAAAGAGCAACAGTTACAAAGGTGAGTAACTGGGTTTTTTTTTCTTCAAGTGCTTGCTCATATGTATTCCAATTATGTGATTCACAAGCCTTTATCCTGGAGAAGGGGTCAGAGTCACAGTCTAGCTGATTTGAGAACTGCGGTACCAAGAGCCGCACCCAGATATGATTGTTGCATGATGACATAGTGTGACATGAATGTATGCCCTGAAGACCAAGTTGTGGCTTTACAGATTTCCTAGAGGGGTACATGAGATAAGAACACCACCGAAAATGCTTGTGCTCAGGTGGAGTGTGCAGTTAAGTGGTGGTGGAAGGACCTTGGCCAAGTCATAAGAAGTGCAGATGCATGCAGTGGTCAAAGAGGAGATACGCTGCAATGAGATTGGCTGTCCCTTCACCTAATATGCCGCTGGTACAAACAATTGCTGTGTCTTATGAAAGGGCATTCTGATGAGGCTTAGGGTAAAACATGGGAAGAAAGATATCATGCCCCCTATGAAAGCTGGAAACCATTATAGGGAGAAAAGCTGGGTGAGGGCGAAGCTGAATCTTGTGAAAACTCTGTACGGCGGCTCCAAGACCAGGGCACGAAGTTCAGAGACCTTGCGAGCAGAGGTGATGGCAACCAGGAAAACCACCTTAGAAAACAAGTAAAGTAAAGGGCAAGTTAATGAGGGCAGAGAGGATGAGGCTGAAGGCCCAAATGGGGACAGAGCAACAAGCTAGAGGGTGGAGCCTGTCCATCCCCTTGAAGAAGTGCTCTATTAGGGGGCTTGAAAAAACCATGAGGCCTGCTTTTGAGTGAAAAGCAGAGATGGCTGCCAGATGCACACAGAATGAAAAGGTCACCAGATCTTGTTGCTCCAGTGATACCAGATAGGCAAGCAACTGTGACTAGTTGTGACCAAAGAACTGCCAAGATGATTCAATTTGGCTCTCCGCCTGATGACAAGTGGCCTCACAGAAACCAATCTTGAGGTAGAGGAAGACTTGGATTCTCTACCATTGCCACGCACTTGGTCAAGACCCTCTATGCTGTCAAGGGCCCAAAGGGGAGGGCAGTAAACTGGAAATGTTGGTTGCCCACCAGGAAACAGAGGTAGCATCTATGCGAAGACGTAATGGTGATTTGTATATAGGTGACCTGCAAATTTTAGGTGGCGTACCACTCTCCTAGATTCAGGGAGGGGATGATGGAACTCGGGGGCACTATCTGGAATGTGAGGTTGGCCACAAATTTGTTGAGTTCACTTAGATCCAGGATAGGCCGAAGGGCCCCCCCCCCCATTTTGCCTTGGGGACAAGGAAATAACAGGAATAAAACCCCCTACCTCTGAATTCCTGTGGAACCTCCTCCACTGCCCCTAGGCTGAGGAGTGTCTATACTTCCTGCATCAGGAGTTGCTCACGAGAGTGGGCCCTGAAGAGGGCCAGGAGGGAGAGGAAGGGAATAGGGTAGCCCTTTCCACTATCCAGAGGACCCAGTGGTCCAAGGTGATTCCAGACAGTGGAAATGGGATAGTCTATCTCAGAAGGGAAAGGATCCAGCTGCACTGATACTCTCTTTTGGCACACTTTCAGAAGGCTTGCTTGGACCCCAAGGAAGGCTTGGACGGATCCTGGTTGTTACCCAACTGAGGCGCAGATAGCTTGCAACAAGACTAATGAGGGTGCCAATGTGAAGAGTCAGCCCTGGGCTGGGATGAGAAGGGCCTTTGCTGAGGCTGGGGCTTGAAAGCCTCTCTCTGAGTGGCTGAAGTATGCATGCCCAAAGACTCCATCATTTTGTGGGAGCTGGTCTGATCCACAATAAGGCAAACCATAGCAGAGATGGTCTTGAATTGTTTTTTGTGCCTCTGGGGAAAGGCCCAAAGTTCGGAGCAACAGCACACACCATGTGGCAATATCAAAGGCTAGGACCCGTGCCGCCATGTCCCCAGCATCCAAGAAATCTTGGATACAAGTCTGGCGATTCTACGTTGCCATCCTGAACAATAGCCACAAACTCACTGCAGGAGTCTTGGGGTAGCTAGTCCTGGAATTTCAGGAGGGAGAACCAGGCCTTAAAGTAGCTCAGGATAGCCTCCTTGGTTGCCATAGGAAGCAACGGGCCCTCTGTGGAGTAGACCTTCTGGACAAAGAAGTAGAGGAGCTTAGCGTCCTTAGTCTTAGGAGCTGGGGCCTGGTAGCCTTCATGCTCCTTCTCATTCATTGCCTCCATGACCAGGGAACGAGAGTGGGTGACTGAAAAGATATTCAAAGCCTTTAACCAGCACAAAATATTTCCTTTCTACATCCTTAGCCTGCAGGGGGAGGAGAGGTGCAGTGGTGGAAACGAAGTGGGTGTTTGCTATATGGTCTTACCAGATGCCATCATGATCTTAATGACTGTAAGGGCCATTCTGAAGGGGCCTTCCATAATCAGGACGTCTATGATGGGGTCATCCTGCTTGACCACTTCTTTCACCGGGAGGGTCAGGCTAATGGCAACCTTTGGGAGCAGATCCTGAAGGGTTGCGTGGTCCATGGGAGGAGGGCTCAAGACTGAAAAGCCTGCCACTGCCTCATCCGGTGAAGAGGATGAGGAGGCCCCTAGGAGCCATTCATCCTGTCCCCCCTCAAGTTGGTCCTGCACTTGGCCTGAGGGTCTAAGAGAAGCATTAGGGCTGGAGGGGGTGGGGGGGGGGGGGGGGGGGGGAGACAGGGTCTGGCGCCAAAGAGTGGATACTTGTTGCCTCTGAGACTCTGGGTTTTGAAGGGACTGATGGAGGCCCCACAGGGAATGAACCCTCGGCTTAATGGTATGTCCATAGAGTCCAAAACTGCCACTGTGGGACAGGTTATTCCCTCAGAGGAGAACCAGCAGGTGTGGACCAGTCCAATGTCATCAAGACCTTTCTCTGAAAAGACATTAGTGAGTCCAATCATGAAGGCCATGATGGCACCAATTCAGTAGCTGATGAGGAAACACACTGCTGTGTCCCAAGGAGTGCTTGGTGACATGCACTGGGATGAAGACCTCCCATGAGATCATGTTGGAACCTGGGAGGAAAGGCATTGAAACAGGGATCGGTGCCAAGACAGGATCACCAACTACAGTGGGATTAATGGCGAGAGTGAGATCAAGACTGGTGCTGAAAACAGTACGTTGACAATGGGTGCGTTGATGACTCAATGTTCCAAAGAAAGGTGCCAGAATGCTGAAGTGTAGTGCTGCTCCAAAGAGCAGCATTGAGCGAAGTACAATGCGGTGACAAACTCAGAGAGAGATGGCAGCTCTGGGAGAGGTCACAGAGGGCACTGTCCCAGTGCCTCTGGTGGCATGGGGTCCTATGGAACGGTCAGAGCATTAAGACCGCACCAAACCAGACCAGCTCACCATGGGAGCTCTTGAATGGGAATGGCTCAGAGATCCAGCTGTAAATATGATGCCACAAGTCAGACCTATGGCACCAGGACTCTGGGAAAGGAGCAAGGGGCCCCCAATATGATAGGCTTTTCCTGTGAAGTCTGGTGGGGAGCAGGAGGTTTGTCTCGGGGAGACTGGGTCATCTCAATGAGGCCCCGAACATCCTCAAAAGGTGTCCGGCATGGAGGATGGTCCTACAGGCACTACCTCTGCCCTGGAAGAGTCCAGGACAATTGGGCTTGCTGTATGGGCAGAACCCAATGCTTCTATGCCGCAGGGCCGAGAGTCCTATTTGCCTGTTGACATCGATGTTGCCAGGCCAAGAGCCATCAATGGTGCCACCAGCGTAGACTCAGCCACCTTGGACAGTTGTGCCAGAGTATGAAAGGTGCAACTCTGGAGTCTTCGGGGACTTCCTGCACTGGGAGTCCTTTGGTGCCAATCCTGGAACCGAAGATTGCATGCTGTGGATTGAGGCACTTGGTGCTGGGTCGGTGCAATGTGGATCCAGAGCAAATTCCACAAGGAGTTACTATAAATGATAGTCCTACGCCTTTCTAGTAGGAGGCTTAAAGGCCTCGCAGATCTTGCACTTACCTGTTTGATGAGATTCCCCCAGGCAGGAGTTGTAAATTTAATTGTAAATTAATTTAGTTGTAAATTTTAGTAAAACTCCTTACATATAGGTTGACCTTCTTAATTTTAACTGTTCCTTAACCAATATAAAATGCCTTCTTATCACTCTAGAAAAAAGACTTTTATAACAACTCTTCTACATTAAGTTGAAGAGCCCAAATCAACACACTCTCCTTAGAGTATTTTTCCCACAAACTGCCAGAAAATGTTTAGTTGCAGTATTATAAGATTTGCTGGATAGGGAGATAGGGCAGAGATAAAGGGCATTTATCAGACCTAACTGAATTTCCTGACTTACAAAGATTATTTTTTTTCCAAAATTTTAACCATAATTAGAAATGTCCTGGTTTTCAAGTATTGTAGCTATGCTCTAGTGGTGTTTTAACTGATATTTGGTTATATCCCTAGCCACATCTTAGGCCTTGTCTACAGTGGCACGTTTTGTGACCAAAAACTGCTTTTTGACAACAAAATGGTGAGAGCATTTATACTGCAATGCAATTTTTAATCGAGAAAAAACAGCCAAATTTGGCAGCAAAAAAATTCCAAGCCCTGCAAGAGACTTCTTTTCCCCTCCCTTTATTGTCACCAAAGCGCTAGTGTAATTCTGATGTTTGTTTTGTCCCGAGAATTGGCTTGCGCCATTATCCCACAGTGCCTGCCGCTGATGGCTGTGCTCAGTGTTTGTGGTCTCTGCTGTCCTGCAGGCATGTGCCCCTCCTCTTTCAAAGCTCCAGGAAGTATCTGATAGCTGCGTGCTGCTCCCTTTGGGGAACAAAGAACACATCATTGGAATGCTCCTGTTCTGCCCTGCTAGGAATGTAGCAGCAGGCAGAGATCCAGCTGTAGGATAATGCTGCAGGAGGAGGGCTGGAAAAACTGTTATGCTACTTCATTCTTTAACATGAAGAGCTCACAAACCTATGAGGGAACCCCAAGAAGGGCAGTTATCAGCTCTGCCTTCCCACAACACTGCACTGTAGAATGCTTACATTGCTTTGCTGTGTCAACAGCATGCTAGCAACGTGGCCATGAAATGTTGACAATGGGAGGCAGGAAAACTGATTTGAACAGTTTTCCCTTTTGGCAATGTTGACAGTTTTCGTCACCAAATCTTCCTGATGTAGACATAGCCATAGTGAAGATTTTTGCTTGGAATTTATATCTTTTGCCTAGCTAGTACACAGTTACATTAGGGATGTCAACATGTAGTCAACTACACAATTAACTGATAAGCCTGGGGTTTATCAGTTAATACTGTTGACTATATGCACTCCCCCACTTGCTGTCTCCAACAGATGCAGGGGCAGGCAGGCATGAGCTGCCTGCCCCTCCCTTCCATTGCCTCTATCAGAGGCAGCAGCCCAGAGATAGGGACAGGGGAGGCCACTGGGAAATAGCCTCTGTCCACACTGGGCCCAGCTCCCCAGAGACTGAATTGGCATCCCACAGAGCAGCCTCTCCTACCCTCCCAATTGTACTGCAGCTTCTGGAGGTAGCTCCAAGCCGGTACTCAGGGGGAGCCAACTTTTAAACCAGCTCCCCCTGTGGCCTTAATCAGCGCATAATTTCAAAATGTATTAATATCAGCAGTTCTTTAACTTGAGCATGGTAAATTTATCCACTTGTACCTTGAGTACATTTTCACTGACTCAGAGGCAAATCCTCTTTTCTCAATCACTGAATTGTAATATTAATCTTTGTGTCGGTTTTTATGCAGGTAATATTTCCTCAGGGAAAAAGACTAAGAACGAAAATGGCATAGCTGTGTCAAAAAGTGATCAGGCTGCAGCGGGTCATCCAGTCCCAGAAACAGGTAAGACATATTTTTACCTACAGATTTTCTCTTATTACCTTTATGATATATAAAATCAGATCATTATCAGTTCAGCTAGTATTTTTCAGGTAGCTGTGACAGACCCAGATAAAAATAAGAAAAGGAGTAGAGTAGTACGCTACCCCAGCAGCATTTCTGCTGATATGTGACATGTGTATGCCAGTTTTTCAATGTAAGGTACACAAGATAGTTTTGCTGGTAGATACTTCTGCCAGGCAGCTGTGCTGATTACTTAAAAAATGCAAGAGAACTGTTGTTTTTTCCTCCACCCCATTTTTAGTATGTTAAAGTTTAAACTTTTTTAACTTCTCTTTAGGTGCTGTGCTACCCCTGGCTTTAGGGTTGGCCATCACTGCTTTGCTCCTGCTTATGGTTGCCTGTCGCCTGCGTTTGGTGAGACAAAAACTTAAAAAAGCTCGCCCCATTACATCTGAGGAGTCTGATTACCTCATAAATGGGATGTATCTATGAAGATGTAATCTTGGTTGCTTGTTTTCTCTACTTTGCAGTTTTCCATAAGCCTCTGCCGCCAGCAAATGACCATCTCTTTAGCTTAAAAGAAAACCCTTAGAGAAATCTTTTTAAAGTCTACAAGATGAGAACCTGTTCACATCCCCTTTGGTTACATAGAAAAATCCTACTATCAGTTGGATAGACCCTGATGTGGTAAAAAGCCAATGCAGATTATGCCTGAAAAATTACCTTATTTTAATCATATACAATAATGCTGTAGGCTGGAAAGCTAACCACTGGATGGCAGACTCTCTTAGTCTTTCACCTATTTACTCCCATCCAGGAACACAACTGAACAATTACATATTTCATGTGTGACAGTAAGCCAGGATTAATCAATCAGTATGGAGACACTGACAGACCTGTGAAAGAAAGCAGGTACAGTGCCAACCAATACCTTGCCTTGCTCCTCCTCAGTGCTGTCAGAAGAGCTGCCCTCTAAAATACACTTTCAACATGTTAATATACTGTCTGGGAAGGATTTGTGCATCTGTTAAAAATGCAGTTTATGCACTGGAAATACTCTTATCAGAGATTTTTGTCCTTGTTAATTAATAGCAATCTGTATCTAAGCAAAGAGCCATCTTTTGAATGGCAATTCTGATTTTGTAAAAAGTATTTCCCTATCCTCCATAACTTAAATCCCTTTACATTGCAAACAAGTTTCACTCCAGTGAAAATCAACAGCATATTTGGACCTATCCAGTGCCAACAGCACATGTGTGAGAGATCATGAGACTGTCTCCTCCCATAAAGTTCATAACTTGTTCAGTCTTTTCTATCCCTAATCCAACACAGAATTTTTAAAGAATTACATGAAATGACTTCCGTTTGTTCTTGAGCCTGGCCCTTTTGTTAGAAAAGGCCGGATTTGTTCTATTTGGTTTTGTCAGTTATAAGTAAAGTTAGTTCCAGCCAGACTTACACTATCAATGTTATTGCTGCTTCTACTACAGTATGCTTGATTCTCAGGACTACACTTTCCATATAAATACAAATGAGACATTGTTCCTACTTCTGGAGAAGTTTCCAGATTTTATCAATTGAACCTTTTAGCTCCCAGCAAAGCTTCAAAGCTTCAGTAACTATCCCAATAAAAATCTAGAATTAGAGCAAGTAATTGATGTGTGAATGAATTTAAAATGTGCTAACAGTAAAATGTGTTTAATACCTGTTAAATATATGCTGTGCTGCTTATCCTGTTTGTCTGAATATGCAAGGGTGTCATATCCACCAACAGTCACAGTTAAAAAAAAATAAAGGCAAATGAGGCATGCATCTTTTTGTATGTCATCCTTCGTACTTCAAGGAATTCAAGTCAATTTGAATGTTGCTGTGGGATAAGAATCACTAATCAAGAGGCCCATGATGTTCAAGTCTTGATTACCTTTATGTAAAATAATGATAATAAACCTATTTTATTCTTAAATTTTGTACTGTGTTCATTTGCAGCTAGTTTAAATTCTCATGGTAACACTGTCCTCAACACACAGTTTGTATTTTCCTGGAGGAAAGGAGAGATCAAAGCATCATGTCAATAGTGTATTCACCCCTTCCCAAACACCATTAAAAGAGGCTCAAGTTTTTATTTCCCAGAGTGGACTGATTTTAATCAAAGCTATTAAAGTCACTGATTTTAATCTTTTGCATTTATACTTATTTTCCTGAAAAAAGGTTGATTTTTTATCAGTAAGCAAGCATTAAACCATGTTGATTTGCAACTAAATATATAATATTTGGTGCTTTTTTCTTAACTAAGAGGATGTACTAACTATACCAATATGAGGGATGTGAAAGTGTAACTGTGTACACTGTTAACAGATGAGTCTGTATCAGTGGCAGCAGTACAGGGACAGGGGGAGGCAGGGAGAAACTGCCTCCATCCCTTCCCACCCCCCCAGCATGTAACCATATAACAACTGAAATTTCCATCAGTTACACATTTACTTACATACATTTCAACATCCCTACTCAATACCCATTTAAACAATTAAATAGTGCAACTTATTTAGCAAATTATTTTTACATTTTATTATGTTAGGAATGGGTGAATCATACATTTCTTATATACTACACTGATTTTTTACATATGATTTGCATCAAACCCTATCTGAATGGAACAGAGACCCTTTGAAGTTTTTCAACACACATGCACACACCAAAAAAGGAAAATACAAATCATTAGCCACCACAGACCAGCAAATGATTAGAGTACTCATGTAGAAAGACCCAACCTCCAGTCACTATTTTGAATTAGGTAGGTTAAGGACTAGTCAACTATCCAATAAGCAAATGCTGCCTTTATCAGATAGAGGCAGCATGGGGTGGAGAAATGGGGGGGGGGGGGGGAACTTCAAAACAGCAGCGCCACACAGAGCCCGGGATCAGCTGGGGAGTTCCCAGCTGACCCCAGGCTCCATGTGGTGCTGCCCCATTGAAATGCCACCACAGCATTTCAAGGGGGCAGTGCCGCCCTATCGAATAGTCGATGCAAAAATTAGTCAATTACATGCTACAGGCAACCCCTGACATGCGACCACCCCACATTTGTGGTCGCCCTGCTCCAGGAGCCGCAGGGCCACCTACCGCCCGGCCCAGCCCCCAGCCGGCTCAGGGCTCCATTTGCACTGTGGGGCTGCCTACTGTCCAGCCCAGCCCCCAGCTAGCTCATTGTGCTGTTCATGCCCCAGGGCCGCCTACTGCCCAGCGCAGCCCCCAGCCGGCTCAGGGCTCCATTTGCACTGTGGGGCTGCCTACTGTCCAGCCCAGCCCCCAGCTAGCTCATTGTGCTGTTCATGCCCCAGGGCCGCCTACTGCCCAGCGCAGCCCCCAGTCGGCTCAGGCGCCATTTGCACTGCGGGGCTGCCTGTTGCCTGGCCCAGACCCCGGCTGGCTCATGGCGCCGTTCACATCTCACCGCTGCTTGCCGCCCAGTGTAGCCCTGGGCCTGCTTAGGGCGCCCTTTGCGCTGCGCCCTACTGCCTGGCCCAGCCCAGCCCGCAGGGCCGCCTACTGCCGAGCACAGGCTCCTGGCTCCAGGAGACTACAACTCCCAGGAGGCAAAGCGGGCCAGGAACGGAACCCCCATTCATAACATTGCCCCATGGGCAATAAAGGTTCGAGTTATGATGGCCCGACTTACAACTGTTCTCCAGGAACCAATCAGGTCGTAAGTGCGGGGTTCAATTGTACTTAACATCCTTACTCAGAAACAGGCAGAATAGAGAGCTTGAACCTGAGTCTTTTATATCCCTGATGAGTGATTACACCAGCAGAATACAAACCCATTCATAACATTGCCCCATGGGCAATAAAGGTTCGAGTTATGATGGCCCGACTTACAACTGTTCTCCAGGAACCAATCAGGTCGTAAGTGCGGGGTTCAATTGTACTTAACATCCTTACTCAGAAACAGGCAGAATAGAGAGCTTGAACCTGAGTCTTTTATATCCCTGATGAGTGATTACACCAGCAGAATACAAA